ACAAAGAACAATGTGATTGTTAATAGAGAAGATGACCCTTAATGAAGTTGAAAGGAAAAAAGGATTATGTAAATGACATGAATATTTGGATAGGGCGCTTCATGGGCATATTTTCCCAGCTCAAGCTAAAATCAGATTATGGGTCCAACAAATTTTTAACAACCTCTACTCAAACAAATGAAAGAATACTACAATGAGATTTAACTACTGAGACTGGGATAACTTCCATAATTTGAAATTTCTGGACTATTAGTTTACACCAATCTCCCGTGGATACATACGAGAAGAATGTGCCAGCAAAAAAAATGGGCAATATGATGCTCCAAACATGAACCACTTGACAGTATAGCAATGAAGAATAGCACATTAGCAATGAAGCATGAATCTAATCTAATAAATCATAGTAAGTTAGATGTCTTTATATGACTTTTCCTCATAAAGTCGTCAACTTAAGTTGAATCATTAGTTGACTAGAGTCATAGAAGCCAAAAGAAACCATGGTTTTGCAGTAAATGTCAGACAAATAAAAATAGAAATATGTTTGTCATTACTGACCTTTACCATTGTATCTCGCATGAAATCATATTCAAAGCGTTTCAATTGGAGTTGCAAGACGGGAGGAAAGTCAATGAATAGAACACCTTTCTTGGCATCCTGAAAAACCCAAGGAAAAGAAAATCCTAATCAATAAAATTATCAAGTAAATTGTCACAATATTTGCAACCTGGTAGCCTTGTTTTTAATATATTAGAAGTAAGGAATTACTAGTTGACATGTTATTTGGCTCGTTTTCAACATACAAGGAACTTAAGGGAATGGCTAAGGTTTAGCTACTGAGGGCTAGGAAAATTTTGTGTTGTTTATACTGCCTCAAATTTTCTCAAAAAGGTTTCATGATTATGGACTCCCGGTGAACTATGATGGTTGAAACTTGGTAGGACATGCTTTTGTCGTGTCCATAAAATTATTAGGCAACAGGACCTGAGCATACAGATGGGAAAATCAATCAACTTTGCAAGTCATGCCAATGAAACTGGCAGGGAGGTATATAGATGCTATGAGCATTTTTGTAATTTAAAGTCATTAGACTCCTTCCTTTAGCATATGAACAAGATAAAAGGAATAAAAAATTCTATTATACTCTCAGGAATTTAGGATGTATGTTTAATTCAACATTATTCAGTTACCAAGAAAGACAGAATAGCAACGTAGTGCAAACAAGGGACATGATTAGAATTGCTAGTAATATGAGCAATTTTCCTTTCCCTTTCAGTGTATATAAGCATTTATTCTTTTACACACATGGTCATCAAAGAAGAGCTCTAGTATGGTAGTACAAGGGCACAATACAATAATGATAGATATTGCCACCAATATAGTTACTTAGCCCTCATCTATCTTGATTTGTAATTTCTGCAAAGACGAGCACATACGAACCGCTCGCTATCCCCAACAAACAAGAAAAAAGACTAGAGGGAATACGCAACATGGACAAGCAATGATTTAGCAGCTGTATGCAAAATGATCTAGCTGACGGCACAAATAGCAACAAACCTGCAGACCATGATGCTCAGCCTGGTACTTGTTATCTCCTTCAAGGCGCTCGACTTCACAATATTTGTCAAAAGAAGCATAAATATCCCGACACCCCTTCACATCGAGCTGGAGGTCTAAAGCAAATGCATTATCGTATATAGTAATGCTAGAAACAAAAAGGGTTTAGTTAACAACTAGCCGATATCATAATTCACATACACTTACCATAAAACGACTCCTTTCTGGTAGATTTGTAATCTACATTAATACACTCAATGTAATTCATATGGTGCCCTTCAAACAGCTGCTGTATAGTTCCTTCAACAACAGTTCCCTGGGATGAAAATAAACTCACAGTTCAACAGTTGAAAGAAACCAAACAAATCAATGTTAATGTTAACCTTTAAAGAAAAAATATCAAACCTTCATTTTATCTTCCAACTTTTCAGAAAGAACCCTGTTTAGTTCTTGCACATCATGTTGCATAAAAGAATCATACGTGTCCCAGCCAAACGACTTAGTCAATTCTTTGGTAGCAACACTACTATCACTGTACTGAAGCTTGTAAAACAGGCTCTGCAGAGCAAGGGGAATGCTTCCAGATGGCATATCATTTTCTGTTGTGGGCATGTGGTACACAGCCTAAGAGATGAAAACTCCAATTAACTTCCTTCATCTACATTACAATCAAAGGACAAGACAGAAGGCATGAATTAATAATAGATACCTTTCTGAAGTAGGGAATATGGTACAGAGTCTGAAGAAGCGAATTCATGTAACAGGTAGCTCCTTGATTCTTGAGGCCAACATAACCAGTTTCTTTCTTTGAGTCATAATTCCAGTAATCAATTACCTTACGTACAGCAACCTCAGCTTCAACTATACAGGTATCATTCACAATATATCCTCTACTAGGATCATACAGATCACTGAGAGGCATAAATGAAGTGAAACCCCAATCACTTTCCCGAGCATTAAATTGGTGCTGCGTTTCTGGAAAAAGAAAATTATATATATACGTATAGGTCATGGGTATTCCTGAGCTACAACTTCTCCTTAAATTACAGTTCTTTCAGGTATAGCAAACTATAAATGACCTATGTCAATCACAATCACAACTACAATAAAAAAGTTGTCATCATATTTGGAGAGCATGTATGAGCCATGTTAATAATACTAATATAATGATGGAACCCAATACTGCAGAAGATCCAGGTATCAAAATTCCAAATGGGAATGTCTCCACAACAGAGTGAAGCGATATAGTCTGGTCCTTCAAAAAATTGCATTCTATTATAGGCCGCACAAAATTAGAAGGAAAACGGAACAAGAAGAGCGCCATATAACATAATAAATAAGTACAACTTGAAGAATTTATTTTCTCCATGTGATGTTAAAAAGAGGCTACAACTAGGCTCAATCGACACATAACAAGAAAATATTGCATTCAAGTGACTAAATATAAATCATGGGGAACCACTAATTGAAATCGACCTTTACGCCAGCAAAAATGATACCTTTTCTCACACTATACTTGCTATGCATCTGATTGACCACCGCCAGGCTGAACTGTGCATATCTACTCCATCCATAAGGAAGGTTTACAGAATCAGCAACATCCAAGTACATGGACAAGTGGTCTACATTGTTTCCCTTTGGAAATATAAGCACTCTCCTACAGTTAACCAGTCCAAATATTACACTCACTCACTTTGGGCCCAAAACCCGAACTCCAAAGCAAAGAGACAATTATTTACCATTTGTAACCGCCGACCATGAAAATATCAGAGTAGTGCTTTTTCGGGTGAAGCCTCGAGAAATGCTCGATTACCCAAGTGAATCTCGAGTTCATCGGAGGATCCTCCACTTGCTGCTGCTGCTGGCTCTCAGCCGTGGTCGCAGTGTCCACAGGCGCCACTGAGGAACGACTTAGAATCAAAGGAATAAAAATATAAAAACAAAATCACCTTTTTGATCGAGATGGAGAATTACCTTCCATCGGTTGAGCACCATCAGTGAGCTCGGAATGGGGGACAAGCATCTCGTCATCCTCCTGCTGCAAAATTAAAGCCAGATCGATCCAAAACCCTAGAAATTAGTTAAATTCGAAACCCTAGGGAGGTAAAGTAAGGAGGATTGGATTAGACTTACATCGAGTGGAGAAGGATTCATTATAGTCATTTATAGATGAGGAAGAGGGACGGCGCAGAGTAGCAGATCCGAGGAGAAGGATCGCCGGCGGAGAACGGGACCGCGGTCGAAGAGCGGAGGAAGAGAGAGAGAGAAGGAAGTGCCAAGGGGCGCTCTCTGAGCAGAGCGAGCGACGACACCGAAAAGAAAGTGAGCACCGTGGGGTTTTGTATCGAGGAGGGGCGTTACGGGTATTGTATAAAAAGGTTAATTGTAGATGGTATTGAACTAAACTGTAAAAGGTGTTTATGTGTTGGATCTTTCTGCATTTTGCGTCGTCGGGGGCCGGGGCTTCAAGATGCGTCATAAAATGCGTTTACGCCCCTGTATATTTATTGTTTTCTCGTGAGAGATTCTTAATCACATTAATGAAAAAAGGAAATTATTTTCTTGGCTTTTCCTTTTTTTCCAAAGGTTGTAGTGAAGACTCAAACTATAGATCCATAGTTTTTTTTCCCCATCTCTTTTCTTGATCTTCTCCATTCGGACAAATTTTCAAAAACATCCTATTTGGACATTTAATCCCAAAAACTAACTCATTTCACATTTATTTTCAAAAACCGACCTAGTTTCAGCCTCAGCGCTGAAACCAAGTCGGTTTTTGTGAAAAAACTTCACAAACTTCACGGGACTTCAAGTCCCGTGAAGTTTAACAGCTATTTTGATAAGCTGCTAAACTTCACGGGACTTGAAGTCTCGTGAAGTTTGAAAGTTCAAAAAAAATCTTCACGGGACTTCAAGTCCCGTGAAGTTGTTTTAGCTCATTTTCCGGAGAATCGCCTCTGGAAAATGAGAATTGCAACTTGTGAAGCTGCAGGTTTTAAAATACATGCACAGCATGTGCATGTTTTATATACGCAACGTAATTACGAAAGCTACACATACAATCCAAAATATACATGAAATTTTCGGCATGAATCAATTGATTTACATGAATCAAACAATATATACTGAATCAAACAATAATCACGAAAATACACCTGTGAACAATAATGATTTACATGAATCAAACAATATATACTGAATCAAACAATAATCACGAAAATACACCTGTGAACAATAATCGATCTCATATACTATACTGAATCAAACAATAATCACGAAAATACACCTGTGAACAATAATCGATCTCATATACACTGAATTGTAATAATATTCTTAAAATTCAGCCATGAATTAAACATGAATCAAAGAATACTCACGAAGATCACATATATAAATAATAATTGATCCACAAAAGTATATTATTTGAAAAATCATAAAAATTACAAATTTTAACAAAATAAGATCACATACAACCCAAATTTCCCCCTCTCCTTCCTCTCCCTCTCTTTCCCCTTCCCCTCGCTCTTCCCTGCCCCCCTGCGTTCCTGTTGACGAGTCTCGATTATTCGAATATCTGGTTGTGTATGAGGCTGAGAAGTACTGGCTCCATCAGCATGCGAAGTGTCGGCTCCATTGTCATCATCATGTGGCCTATATCGTCGCGTGTACATTTGCTCAAATGATCGTGACATGTCCTCACGGCCTACAAACTCGTCGACATGAGTCTTATGAAACGTCTGTACTATTATCTGCTTGATCCTGTTGAAGACCCCTAACGCCACCGGATCCTGAATCTCAGGCATGTGCTCATCAATCTCAGCTTCAATGTTATCAAAAGCACAGACCTGCGAGTTAAACAATATATACATGATTTAGCAAATAACATCTTAATTTAAAAAATTACAGCTTTAATTTAGCTTAGAAACTTACATAATTTCTCTCGATCATCCCACTAGGGATGTAACTATCTGTCGGTGGGCGTGACAGGTGTCCAGCTGATGGTTATGGGTCACGCGTGATCCATTCACGTGTGACATCTAAATACCAACGCATATACGCGGTATAGTCAACATCTGTGGCTCTCGTATCATGTATGCAATCCCACCTGTGAACTCACCTGTCTATGTAGGCTGCCCGGAGTACGGACCAGTCCGTATGATGCGATATAGGTCGTCGCCTACGATCGATCTGCTCGACAGGATCCGACATATGCTGAGAGAGCAGAAATTGCCGTAGCACACGGTCGGGGACATGCATCTCCACAATCTCCCAACATATCAATGGAACTCTTGCTCTCCACAAGTCGGGACTATCTCGACAGATAGGTGCAAGAGTATGCATATCGAGCTCCAGCGGTGAATAGGGTCTCCATTTGAACTGAAATAAGATAAAACATTTATCAGTATCAACAAACAAAAATATAATATTCATAACGACTTGAGATTTATATTTACATGTTCATGTTGGAGGCCATCAAGCTCATTGCGGTAAAACTCACGATGTCGCGTTGCTGATTTATACTTAGCGTACCGCACATTATACCTATTTTGCATAAAGAATATATGAGTACAAATTCAATATGGATAAAATTGTGTGGACAATTATACATGTATGACAAAGGAAACTGGCCCTGTAGGTCATGATGCACAAGCAAAATAGGTCGTTCAATATGAATGTGTTCTCATAACCAAATCTGTATCAATGTGCATTATCCTTTGAATTCTTTATTCTACATCAAGGATACTCTACCCAAATTCTCTATATAAGTATGCCAACATCGCACTGCCCCATGATAGTGCGCCGCATACACCAAAATCCTCTAGCAGTGACAGTCATCGTGCATGTACAAGAGTCTTGCTCGCATCAGGAAATAGCGTGCACCCTATCATGTGCAATATGTATGCACGAGCATGATACTGAAGCGTCTCAATTTCACCAATTTGCCTAAATTTCTCTAATGTTTTTCAATAAATAATTTCATCGAACTCTTCTCGTCCACTAACACTCCAATGAGACACATATCATAGTCACTTGAGATTTGAATGTCGCTTGTTCTGTTCCCCCAAATAGGACTTGAAGTCCCGTGGAGTTGCAGGGTCGTTTTTCCAGAGAATTGCTTCTTTGAAAATTCAGCCTCAAACTACTTCAAGACCCATGAATTTTTTTTTAATTTCGAAACTACACGGGACTTGAAGTCCCGTGAAGATTTTTTGAACTTTCAAACTTCACGGGACTTCAAGTCTCGTGAAGTTTTTTAACAAAAATCGACCTGGTTTCAGCGCTGAGGCTGAAACGAGGTCGGTTTTTTTAAAATAAAAGCCAAATAGGTCTATTTTTGGGATTAAATGTCCAAATAGTAAGCTTTTGAAAATTTGTACTCTCCATTCATTCTGAGTTTTTTCGCTGTTTGTGGTATTAACTTCTCTCTCCTTATGAGATCAACCCCCCCCCCCCCCCCCCCCCCCCCCCCGCCCCCCCCCCCCCCAGCTGTGCTTCATTTAACACATAGACTTGTGATTCAACGGATTTTTCAATTAATTTGATTTTTTTTTGGCGTTCTTCATTTCTATTTTTTTTATTTATTCTTGATGCATTGTGTTCCATGGATCAGCATGGATTTGATTTTCAGTTAGAAAATGTTCACTGTCTCACTTTACTATATCTATTGAACATATAAAATTATCACAAACAGTTATCAATGTTTTTACGAGTTGGAAAATTTTTCATTTACAAAAAGAGCCTTCAGATAGATGAACAGCAATTTTCTAATTGATATGAGAAGTTATTGACTGTGAATGGCCAAATGGAGTGATTAGTATGGGTGGATAAAGAGTACAACTTTAAATTCTTTTGCTTTTGCTTTCCGTTGAATGACGTACAAGCCGCAAAAATGATTAATACTTAGCTGTAAATAAAGTTTGTTATATATGCATCAAGTACAAAAGAAGCAAGAACATAAGGTCATAAAGATTTGGCATAATTCTCATTCCCAAAAGAAAGCCACAATAACTATACCGGTTCTTGAGAGAGAGTAACGAATCTCATGGAAACTTCCACAACAGAAGAAAGAAAGCTCAAGAAAAAGGTAGCCAAATCGAGCACAAGCAACTCCCTGAAACGCAGGAGCTTGGATGCGACCTGTTCAAATTTTTTGTGACAGCGAAAGCCACAATAAACAAAATATGCATTCAACTCTTAGAATGCCACCAATGTACATGTGCCCTTGATTTCAACAGGTTCTGCTATTCTCGAGTCAGACTCTATCGTAGTTAATGGACCAACGGATCCAAGTCAAGAGCCATCCACATTATAAAATCACAAACGCCTTCATTCTTTGGCAAATCTGAAGAGAAGACCCGTCCATGTTAATCACGGGATGACTAGTAAAGAAAGTAAAGCCGGTTTTAGATATAACTGCAGCTACGAGTTGAAAATCTGCTTAGTTCTATTTATACAGAGCGAAACAACTAGCATCAATCTCCTTGATCATACACGGAGTAAATAACAAAAACACAAAATGAGACACTTTGTAACACATCACCAAAGAAACCACAAAACCAAAGAGGAGCTTTTTGTATGCAAGCGTCTTCATGATCATAGCTACCACCAACGAGCCCTTTTTGCACCATACAGCCGTTCGTAAATGAACCTTTTGCTCCCCCATTTCCACCACACAGGGCCCACAAAGCGCCTTCTTTTCTTTGCTTGTTTTTCTGGAGATTACTTATTGAGAACAATCAGTTCAGATAAATACATTATCCTTACTATAATATGGCATACAAGGTTAAATTACCATGATAAAAAAATTTGCATCATATTGAGCCTCATGGAGCATTTGTGTCAAAACCCCTCTCTCTATCTGGCACCAAAATTGTTAAGTAAGTTTCTTCAAAAGTTTTGAGTTGTGCTACAGATTGATAATAAACATCTGATGCTTTATAAACCATCAGAGTCATTATATCACTTGTTTTTATTTCTTAACCATGGTTTTCGACAATTACATAGGCAGACAACACAATTTCAAGCTGGACCTATTACCTCCCTACTAGATTAACCAGCCCACGGAATGCCCGGTGCATTTTTGCTCGTTTGGATCAAACATGCATCAAGAAGGGGAGATCAAGAAAGATGTGGTTACCAGAATCAAAGCAGAATAGTTGACGTGGAGAAGTTGCTTCTGGATATCATGTGATAGTAGAAAATCCATGAAGTTAACAGGTACGCATTTTGCATAAAGTTGCGGGCAATTTTCTATATCATGTGATATGAGCAACATATGCTTTATGATCAGAATACCTAGCAGTTGAAACAAGATATCCAAAACATGAGTGACACAGACTTAGGATTGTTGACAGTGGAAACTCAGAAAGAGATTAGATGAGAGTGACAAAAGCTTCTTTCAAAATTGACCATATGTTCTCATCTAATATGAGCATATTTAAAGGTTGTTCATTCCTATCCAGGCCAAAACATGCGAGAATCTAGAATCTAGTGAGATGGTTTAAGCATATTCAAGAAATTTGGGATAAAGGCTTTGTTGTCATGTTTATGTTGTAATAAGAACCAAGACAGATGGCAACATCATGTACTCAGTAGACAAGGTGAACTGCTAAGCAAACATGTCTCATGTCTCGGTAATGGATATGGATAAAGGACATAAAAGGCCCAATCTAACTAAGATAGGCTTTTTACAATGGAAATATTGAGATTCTCTTCCAGCAGAGATTCAAATCGTCTTCTAAAATCCTGAAAAGCCGTCTTAAAACATTCATAAGCTTCACAGAAACTGGGCAAGAAGACCATACCACATTGAATAGTGAACCCTTTGTCAAATTTCCTGGTAAACGACATGTTTAACTTGCAGGGGTACAAACTAATGACGGAAGATCTCTCTCTGAACTAAGCAATCCCTCGTCAAAATCAAAAGAGGTCTAAAAATAAGAAAACATACAGATGCCATTTTACTCCTCTCCAGAAAAATGAGAACAAGAATCTGGAAATGGAGTAAAAAGGATGAAAATGTTTAACCTCCACAGCTCTGTTCTCTTAGCCTCAGGCGTCAGTCTAAAAATGAACACAGCATTAACTGAATATTACTGAAGAAAAAGTGTGTTACATGGGAATGCATTATATGTGTGCATGTATAAAATCGATCCCATTGTGTACCTAAAAAATATATGTAACAGTGAGAAGCAAAACCGATTTCAAATTTCAACTCCAAAAAGCACTGATTTTCTTGTGTGTGTGTGTGTGCGTGAGAGAAAAAACATAATTCAATTATGATTCTGGACAAAATAAAGCGACATTAAGATTCACTACTCACTCATGTTTGAAGAAACCAATTCCCATTGCGATCGCAGAGTTGTGTAGTTTGACTCTAAACTAGGCCAAAAGTTCAGCTGTATTTTCAGGACCTGCAGAACGGTTACCAGGCCTGCCTTTGAAGGCATGGTGTAACTCATTTCATGGACAGGGTTCTCACCAAGTAGCACCTGTCATTAGAAGGAAGATAGAACCATAAGGTTAGAGAACAGCACATAAATCTCTGACTTCACATAGTTAGATGGAGAATAATGCCTGTTCAATAACTTGGCATCTAATATGAATTGAGTGAGATGCATATCCGCATTATTATATACACAAAGAGGAAGACAATAAGAGTACAGGGACCCAATGTGTAATCTGAAAGAGACCAAGACAAAATCTTCATGGGTAGGGCTCAGTGTCAAATTTTAACAATACCGCTTCCATAACAGCTTTTGATACCGAGAATTTAAAACCTGTCGGGTACCAGACCTAGTATAAGCATCTGAAGTAACTGGCTAGATTATTGGCTTAATTGCACTTAAATACCTTATAGTTTCCCCTACTTTGCACTTATATACCCTCACTTGTTTTTGACAACACTTATATGCCCTAAAGTTTCTAAAACTTAATTTTTTAGCAGCAGATATACACCATAAAGCTTTTAAAACTTGCACTTAAATACCCTGAACTTTTTAACACTGACACTTAATATCCTAAAGTTTTTAGAGCTCGCACTTAAATGCTTTCAAGTTTGCACAACTGAAGGTATTTAAGTGTAAGTTTTAAAAACTTTAGGGTATTTAAGCATCAGCTTTGAAAAATTTAGGATATCTAAGTGTCCGTTTTGAAAACTTTAAATGCTGCCAAAAAAGTGAGGGTATATAAGTGCAAGTTTTAAAAAATTTAGGGTATATAAGTGCTACCAAAAACAAATGAGAGTATGTAAGTGCATAGTAGGGGAAACTATAGGGTATTTAAGTGCCATTAGGCTAGATTATTTATAGAACAAAATTACAGCAACAAAAATATCCTTTTTTTAAACCAATTGTTTATGCTCCACTTCACTAAGAAAAAAGAGAGAATTTGCTGGATTTCACAACTATATGAATGATGTGACCTATGATATGGAAAAACAATTACTGAAAACCATCAAGCACAACCAGCAAGATGATTTTGAACTTGAGCTGCTCATGGCCAGCAGGATCATAAACTGCATGAACCTCAAAAGGTGGTATATTCTAGCCTTTGAAGATAAGGCCCTTCACTTGTTCATAGGTTCACATCAATTGATTTCTGAGGATTGCTATCATTGAACCTTCTGCAGCTATGTTCATACCTATATCCGCTTTGATAGGAAAAATGCATGGTGATTAATTCCTAAAGCATCATATATTGCGCAAGCAATAAAGAAGATCTAGCCAAGCTTTACAACCAAATAACACTCTAGCGCCTTAATATCGACTTAGATGTTTTTGGAATGACGGTTTAGTAGACTGAAGTTCAATTATTCCAGCCAACTCCATCTAAACTGCTAAGTGATCTGAGTTAGGGGAGGGTTAAATAGGTTTTCCATGGCACCACCCACAAAGAGGACCTTTTAGGCGACAAATACCTCTGGCTTCAAGTTGGAGTTATTTGACCCCAATAGTTATACAAGAAATTGGTAAGTCCTACGCTCTAACCCAATTATCCAAACACCCAAATAATTCCAAATTGGTAATGCCTGCTAACTCCCATTCTAGAAACACAGACCACTACAACTTAACCCCATTTATCAAGCTGGGCCTTAGTTTCCTACAAAGAACTCTCTTGATATCATTACCTGATCATGTTCCTACTGCTGTTCCTGCTAATGCCTTCAATTTTGAATCTTTACATGGTGAACAATAATCATTACAAAAACAGTTGCTTTACTTCATTCATAAAGCTAATCAGGAGGTCAGAAGACATCATGAATCAAGCACTTCTAACAGAGGCAAAATTGAGAACTGCAAGAACTAAAATCTTACTCATTACTAACATACGACAATGAGAATGGAATCTGATGCATCATGCAACAAAAAAAAATACCTTAACTACTGCTGTAGCTGAAGAAGATATTGATCGAAGATTGTAACTGCAAACAACAAAGAAGAGAGGGATAAACTAGTGACAACGGATACATGGCCTAAATATGCCAAATAAAATAAATGAAAAGGGATGGCAGGGGAAGTGCCTACCCTCCTTCAAGTACAACAAGCAACTTTCCCTGGGAAAGAGAAGTCAACATGTGTGTCATCTGTGCATATCCAGCAGGGGTTACCTGGCGCAGAAGACACTTTGAATCACCAGCTATATGATGAGAATTAAGTCATATATGTTATCATTCAGCTTAACTATTAAATCTCGAGTTCAAAGCTCTTTTTGCGCCTTCCAATTAACAATCATATCGATCAATGTACATAGCATGGTTAATTCGAACCATATTGTTTGAGCACATGAAAACCCATAATCGAATTGAATATATAAATGTGCTGGAACTATAGATGTCATCCACATGCTTAATGGAGGAATTGGAAAGAAAATTAAGGAAAAAAGTTATTCCATATCTAACAAGAAAAAGAAAACCGAGGATGCAATCCTTACATCACAACAGCCTAGTGGATCACCTCTTGCTGCATCAAATCCTGCTGATATAATAGTGATATCAGGTGCAAATTCAGAGGCTGCAATTAAACCAATCACATTAGTAATAAATGGTTGAGGTGAAGCACAAGAGAGCAGTATAAACATAAGGATAACCAGCATAAAACAAAAGGCAAAAGCAGAGAAAGGAAATAGAGATTAACAGTAGGACATGAAATCATTAGTCTTTTAAGGAAAAGCAAAGGCAGTTAAGGGGAACATCCAAGAACAGGCATCATCAAATAGGTAACTGAAGAATAAGAGGGTTTTCAACAAGTACAAGACAGTACCTATGGGAAGTACAATGTTTTGGAAGGCAAAAATGTAATCATTATCCCCCACACCCCCACAGCTCCAGGGAATATTAACCGAGTATCCTTCAGCATCCAATATCCCAACCTGCATTATTGAGGTTAAAACTATAATACCAAAAGGAGAAACCACAGAAAACCCAGATGCTCGACATATTTTGTGCTCATATATGTAATTTTATCAGATATCACTGTATGCATGCTATAAGCATTCTTCTAAAATAATCTCAGAAGATTTGCACATTGTACAATATATAGAAATTTGCTAGAAACAGTTTTCAGTATTAAATGACAATCAGTCAAGAAAGTCATGTATTGTCAGCTAAAAACTGCAAAAAGGATTTATATTTGCAGTATTCTATCCATTTCCTTCATACTGCACCAGGGCAGAACTCTTGATTTTTAAATTACTTAACAGCAGCAAAAGCTAAAAGACAGAAATAAATAGTAATAGCATGCCAATAAGTAGAAATGGGAACATCAGATTTGCTTCACAAATACAATTAGATATAACAAAGGCATGCAACACAACTTTTGGCATTTTTAGAAGTGGTATCATATTGAAATCATTTAAAGAGAGAATCTGATTGATATGACCTGCACTGTAATCCAAGTTTCTTATAACATGCTGAAAATTATGTGATTCCGTTTTGTACAATAATAAAGCTCATGATATATAGCCCACAAAAAGACATAGCAAGCTTTGACCAACGTCAGCTAAAAACAAAGTAATACGTCTTTGAATGAACATGAGCAGAGGTTATGAGATAGAGAGATATGTCATAATAAAAAGAGAGAGATACAAAACTCTATGGTTATTAACAGATAAGTAAATTGCCTAATTAGGGTTAAGATATAACTATCAGTGCAAGATAATTTATACATCTCTAATAGAGTAATGAGCACATTGTCAAGAATTTAAACTTTCACAGCTATCAATTTTATTTAGTTAAATACCACTAATAGGTACAAGTAATTTCAAAACCATGGAACAATTAGATACCTCATCAACAGCACCAGATCCAGGATAGAAATTTCCACCTTCATGCCGATGTAATGATATGTATAAGACCTACAAGATAAACTTGCATCAGAACTACCATGTGTTTAGCCAAAATCCAAAAATAACAAATGCGGCGAAAAACACAACTCATAGTTGCATCGCATCCCTTTCCTGCCAATCCTTCGCCAGCAGACAATATGAGTATGATTACAAGTGGAGTTGGCTGACAAATACTGAAAAAGGTTTGTATCTGTTCTACTAGTCAAGCGGGAATATCATGTTGCGAGTAGTGTGGACCTGATGGAATAATAAGAACAAGGACCTGATGACACAATACAAACTGATTTGAGTAGTGTGGACAAAAGATGCATAAATCTTACCTGCACCATGCACTTCTTTGTTTTAACCATATCATAGATGAGATTTTCTATATTATACACTGCCAAGTGCTTAATACTTCTGCCCCATGTATTGTGAACTACTATTCTTTTTTGGTTGGCAATATGTAAGGGGTAGCTTATTCGCTCCCTTTAACTTCGAGAAGTGAGAACATGATCCCAACGGAAATATATAAAATTAAAATCAAAGGTCATTTGACACAATGACCTTGTATTTATTTTTCTCCATAACTACATGGACTTTAGTGCTATATGACATCAAATACAGTCTTCAGTCTAAATGTCTGATAAGACAACTTGTAAATGAGACGTAACATGGACGCAGACAAACACATGTTCATCCCAATATTCGATAGGAATAGGCTCTATACAGCACTATCATTTTACCTATCTCGTAACATTGACAGTTAAAACACAAAGGACATAGGTTTGGGTGTTCATGGGAGTAACAAATAGTTGTTCAAACTTTTTTTTCTTTCCATTCTTTCCTTGTACATCCAGTTTTTAGATCTTGTTTTCTATGTCTTCTGTTATTTCAATACAATTCTATCTTTTTTCTCCTACTGCATGTGAAGTATCCAAGTAATAGGATGTCCAAGTGTCCAACAAAACAAAATTTGATAAACAAGAAATATCTTGGTATCAACGACGGGATCTTCACCATTATGCCACATTAGTGTACTTTTCATACTGTAGTTTATATAGCTTGCTGTATAATGTAAAATTCCTCTGATGTAATGATCATTAATGTCTGCTAGAAAAATAGACAATTAGAATTAATTAGAAATTAATTAAAGACAACAAAGGAATCGTGATTTACTGCCATCATATTAGATAAAGTCAGTAATTCAAAGAATAGGGATTTACTGCCACCATATAAAGTCAGTTATTCAAGGACAACCTCAGCAGCAAACAGGTAACAACACAAAGATGTCCTCCAATATTCTGAAAGTTTTAAATAGCAAATGGTTGACTCCATGCAAGAAGGCCACACCACTACCAATTGGAAGTGTCAATGAGCTAGGTGAAGGTACAAGCTTGTTATCCAACATTACAAGTGGGATAAATCATCATCCAATTTTTCAATGATGCATATCGAAGTTTCCAAAACCTCTGCATTTAAATGAAAAATATAGTCAACCCATTCAAAAAATCAATTAAAGATCAAAAGAGGTACATTAGAGATACCCATAAATTAGAATTTAGGAGGGGCCACAGATCACGACAAGCTACTTTATATGTTCAAAAAGTTACCAAGTTCATCCAATCAATAAGGTTTCATTCATAATAAGATAAGTAATTCCATCATCTTGGTCATGAAGAAAACATGCAAGAATATAGTTAGCAATGGTTTCATAAAAATTCTTTATATAATTACATTAGTGACAACAAAACAGATTTTCACAAGTTATAATGAAGAAGTTTTATATATGATACTCACTGATTTGTTACTCTCAAATATCTCTTGAGTGCCATTGCCATGATGTACATCCTGCAACCACATTAAATGAAAACAACGAGGTTAAGAGATGGTAATCGTTCAGCTACTGTAAAGTCATCCACATCAGTCAAAATGACTGCAGGCATGAAAAGCTTAAGGATATGAGAAATAAGAACCAAAAAATCATCAAAACAGAAGCTTAAGTTCACCAGAATTATTATTATTATTACCCAGTCAACAATTAACACTTTCTTGGCACCTGCACTCTGAGCTGCTAATGCAGCCACTGCAACATTGTTGTGGAGACAGAAACCCATTGCTTGTTTTATGCCTGCATGATGCCCAGGAGGCCTTACCTGACTTACAGGAAAATCCATAAACCAATCAACACTAGCCATGAGCTTTTAAAGAATTATGTTCTGAAACAACAGGAGGCCATACCAGAGCAAAACCATTCCTCGTGCGCCCAGAGACAATTGAGCGAGCAAGATCTGCGCAGAGTCCAGCAGCAATTCTGGCAGCACAAGCTGAATGTTCATTTGCGTATGTGTCTGAAGTGAAATAGCTGCCAGTTGAATCTACAAGTCATCAAAACTGTATTGATACCAGTAATATAAATCTAAGCACATCTAAAAGAAGGGCCTATGTGCTATTTTTCAGTATGATATTTGATTAATGAAACAAGAGGGAAGGTGAATGATTCAGTGCATATCAAGCACACTTTTCAAGATATAGGGTTAAATGCCAAGATAAAAATTGAACGATAAGGAAAACCCTTTAAAAAATCTTGAGGCATTGGAGAAGAGATATCCTGTAACAGAGCTTTTACTTTTCACAATTGTGCATAATATTGACACTTCTCCAAATACCAGAAAAGTAATTTTTTAGTCCAGGTTTCTAAAGCAGCAGAGATCATCTTGTGGGTGTTATATAGACTAGGAGTTATTAGTCCTCTTATGAGTGATACATATGTCTGGAGTTACAAAATGTGTAAACCACACGAATCAGCAACCTGGAAAACAACTGGCTTGTTTGTTGAACCGTTTCAATATGATCCGACGAATGAACCTGCATACGATCAACAACACTTTGATATAAAACACTAAACTTGCATATGAAGTTACTACGTAGAAATCTCAATTAACATTACAAGACACTAAGTCACAGCATACCAACAGCAGCTCTTCAGGAGTAATTTCTCTAGCAGGTATCACATAGCAATTTCTGGCAAATATTCCTGAATGTATCAACAAAATTCATGTTCATCTCTGATATAATGAGAAACAACACTATCAAATGCTCAAATAATCAAACATATTATGAAATGCCTAAATTTCAAACCACAATAACAAATGCGTAAACAATCAAAATTTTATATTATAGTTTTTTTTTAAGATAAGAAATCTCTCTTATGAAACCACTGAAAGCTAACCAACTTGTGTTCACCAATCCATAAGGTCAATTCTAAGTATTGACTTATGTCCATAAAGTTCAAAAATGGTTAATGCTAGATTCTAAATCTAACATACTCATAAACTGGCACCAATTTCCAAATTAAAGAAACTAATGGCAAGACATAAACCTGCTATTGGTATAGAATGCAGATTGGCAGGAAGAGAAGACTGCCAAATGAATAAAGTAAGACTCAAGGATCATTGGCTGATAACAACTTTATTTAGAGATTCATTGAGAAGTTTAGAACAGTACTGGATACATATAAAGAAGCAATCCAGTTAACTATTGAACCTGCAGAAACAAGGCTGGCTGCAATCGCTCGCAGACGATCTGGTCTCTCAGGGTGTGGATGTGTTTTCATCTCAACCTAATTGGAACACAGAAAACCAAATGACAAATATTATCAGTAAACTATTGTTAATATACACAACTGCGGGTGGTAATAAAAGAAACAGGGTTTTGAGAGAAACATTCAATTCTTAAAACAATATGCAAATATGTTTTGGTCCACATTCCAGGATTTTGGCAGAAGGTAAAAATAAAAAATGGCTGCAAGCATCTGAAACACATATATTATTAGTTTGAATAACAAAATGTGTGAGATGACATAGAAAGGTTAACCAGAATCATGTTGCATGTTGTACACGTGTGCCTCAACAAGAAATTAACTAACTAGATTCATTGAAGCTCAAGGCATTGTGCTAAATAAAGAATAGAAAATCAATAATCAATAATCAATAAGAAAATAAACAAGGAAGTAACTATATAGAGTCCACCTTCATAAAATAAAGTGCACACGATGAAACAAAAACAAAGAAGTCACCAAAACACATCCCTAACCTCCACAAAAATGGAAGCGATAAGGAAAGATATTAAGGGTTTCCTCACATGTTATACATTTGTTTCTTAAAGAATTTAGCGAACTTTCCTTATCATTCTCAGATAATGTTCAGAATGCATTAAAGACATTAAAGAGCAACAATGCAATGTCAGATAATCCCTTCTTAAATCACTAATTCACTGCATGTGAATTTGAGAAACCTAACAACACATCGTACTACATAACCAAAACCGTTCATCTTAAAATTATGGCATGAATCAAAAAAGTGATTTGTTTACAAAATTGGTAAACATACTCCATCAGCTTGAACGGAAACCTCAATCATCATTTTTTTGTTGGTTTGTTTTGTTTTGTTTTTTTTTATTTTTTTATTTTTTTGGGGGGGTGGGGGTGGGGTGGGGGTTCAATTCTTCTATAGCATAAGTAAAGTGGTTTACGTTATCCTTTTCAACTACAGATGCCTACATTAAAATTAAAAAAGAGAGAAATCTGTAACTATTCTAATTTATTTTATCATTAGCATTTGTACATTTAAGAGAATAGTTCAACAAAAAATTGATACCAATATCTATGCTGGCAGCTTCCTGAGTAGTACTATAAACATGTTTTTCTTGTCTTTTCAATAACATGATGACATACAATCTGTATGAAAAACCAATATAAGAAACCTTGCAAGACTGATGCTGTACTTCTCAGTTAAATAGTTTTACCTCCGAATGAAGCAGCATTCTCTCATCAAATCCAATGGCTGTACAAGTTGCTGAGGGTAAATCTGCAAGTTTGCACAAATAATCAGGATATAAATTATAGAAACAGATGAGACACGGAAAATACAGAACCAATTCTTAGTATGATTCCATAACATTGTTTCTCATGCTAGTATCTGCTCAGAATGCAATGTAGAACTACAAAGGCAAATCGATGAATAAACAAGAGAAAATGTTTTCCAATTGTATGCTAAGTATTATCAATGCTCGATGCGCAATGCAGGGGGCAATTTCCCTTTACGCGCACATGCTCAAGGCGCAACGCAGAGTGCAGAGCTCGAGTGAACCAAGGAGCACACCACACAATTTTTCAAGAAAGATAATCAAGCATGAAAGGACATAACAATGGATTTTCATATAAGAAATATGTCAAGTTAAATAATGACCGCAGCCAAATAAGAAAAAGATCTTAATTAATATTAACACACCCAACATAGTAGAAAAGTTCATAATTGTCCAAATCAATAGTCAAATCAAGACTAATATTGAAGCAAAATCAAATAGTAGAATAGAACGAGTTAGGGTCCTAAATGGGAGTAGTAACTGTGATCTAATGGGTTTAATTTTCTTTTTTGGAATATGGATTATTAGGTATAAAGACCCAATTGAAATTTAAAGAACAAAAATATACAAGACTATGTCTTGCATGCGCCCTATGTGAAGCATCCCAGCGCAGGGCGCTTTCAAGACACAAAAAGGCACTGCTACATCAGATGCAAGGCACATTGTCGCTGCGCGCATGAGGCGCGCACCTTTGATAACACTGTGTATGCTTACTGAAGCACTTGTAGCTGCCAGAAACATTTGAAGGGCAATTAAATCTTCTCCATAGCTAGTCATCCACATGGTCTCAACATGATGTTAGTTCATTATCATATCAAGAATCCAAAGATTACCTACCACACGTCTCATAGCACAAGAAGACAAGTTGATTATATGTGTGTGAGTGTGTGCATATATATATGAGGATACTGGGTATGGGATGCCAGCTCACTGTCATGTGAGTCCCACCCTGATGTGAACTCACACCTTTTGAAGTGACAAGTAGGGTGGGCCTCACCACATGGCTATCTCGTGGTACCTCATTTTACTAAATGAGCCGCCACCTCATATCCATTTTTTCCATATATATAGCCATTTCCAATTACCATTATAAAGCAGCATCACTTTCAAAGAACATTGTTAAGTAACAGCCGGTGTTAATTATGCGAATCAGAAAAAGATTGAGGCAACGAATGATTCCTCTTAACTCCAGAAAACATTTTCCCACAAACATGAAGGAAAAAAAACACTATCCCTGCATGTGCAAGCAAGCATGTTTGCACAGTGTTTTTTCCCAAGTCTGAATGTGTACTTAAACAGACATGAACAATGGTTCTAATCATGACATCATATAGTCTATATTTAAATTTTAACATAGTTATTAAATACTAGATCTTCACAGCTGAGGTTAGTTTCTGCGGGAAAATATTTAAGAGTTTATGGTCGTAGAAACTGCTTCTGGAGCACTTTCAATAGAAGAATGATATATAGGAAAAGAAATGTACCAAATGAACAGAATACATACCCTGATTATTACGAACAGCGTCTGACTCAAGTGAAACCTTAGCCGCTTGACCAAAATAGGTGAGGAAAGAATGATACCCTAAGATTTCTGACTCCTTACGTTCTCCACAAACCTTCAAAAAATAATATGATTTGGAGATTCTCCCAAAGAATATGAAAATAATGAAAATTCGTATGCCATAACAAAATTACTTGAGCCATATAGGTAACATGTGTTATCGTAACAACTATGACACAGCTGTTAAAATAAATGGTAATACTGGTCAAGAACTATATATTACATTTGCATACTTAACACTTCCAAGGAAAAAAGAGAGGTAATCATACATCACACTGACAAGTGTCGTCGAAGTTTGGCATTGTACAGTTCGTACAGAACCACTTCTTGATTATAAAGTGATTTACAGGCTCCCAGTCGCTATCATCATCTTCATCATCATAATGGTCTTGCATGTACAAATCTTGTAAAGTACTGACTTTCCGCTGGTCCAGATTTTGTTCCAACTGTCTTGTGCTAGATGTCTCGTGTTCAATGCCATGACAACTTGTTTCAGCATTGCCGGGTGCACCATTTTGTGTTTTAATTAAGCCTTTCTGAATGGTCTCTCTGTAACATGAAGTCTCATTGATTTCTTGAGGATGTGATTTTCCAGCATCCTCATAGGAGCAGGATAAATTACTCTGACATTCTACGTGTTTGATTTTATTATGTCTTTTACTTTCTGCACAAAGCCCACTACCCTTCTGATTACTCATACAGAGCGCCTCAGATGCCATGGGCATATATTTCAGAGGATTCCCCTTAAAAAGTTATGCCATAGTAGAGCCTGCATTATAGAAAAATAAAAAATAAATATTTTGTATCATAAAGAAATGACATTTAAAGAAGGTCATGTTAATTATTGTGGCATGAAAGAAGAAAGAAAATTTTGTTAAAACAGCATGAGGTATTGGAAAAGCTGACACATGTTTCTAGGTCCCGCTCTGGAATACAATAAGACGAACCCGACAAAACATATGTTGCAAGTACAGTCGACACTTTCTTGCATATAATTTTTGGTTACCATAGAGATTAACTTACCTTTGAGAGACTGCAGACCAACATAAAAAACAAATATTATTGCAACCACCGCAACCTAAATCTCACACCTACGTAAACCCATAATGGAGACCACAATTCCCATATACCAAACCATGTTCTCAAAGTTTCCCTGTAACTTTGCCTTGGGGCATATGCCCCATAACAATGTGCCATCAGGCATTATCTTCATGTAGAAATGTTCATAACATAGTGATTCCATGTATTTCTTTTGTAGCCATTCAGTATGCTAACGTTTCTCGATAGTGGGATCTCACAGTCTCATGAGCAAAACCACAATCATGTTTCTTATACTAATGAAGCACTTAGTCATTCTAGTTTAGTAGTTATATAATTATTAATTACCTCTAACTTCAGCCACATTTTACATAAATAAACTGGTACTAAATTTAAAGACGGATTTTTATCTCCAGATTTACAGAAAAGAAAGCGCAATACATGCATGTCTTCTTATTCATTGGCCCAAACTCTTGAAATTTGACTGCCACATGTTGGATTTTTCAGGATTCTATATATTGCTATATTCTTCCCTTTTTCCCCTTCTTATGACTAAAATAAATAGTTCAAGCTAGCCCCAATCATTCAACTAAAAAAGTTGCATGAATAGCTATTTATTCCCCTAGAGAAGGGAAGAAAACTTCCAGCTCCTAAAGCTGTAAAGTTCAAGTTTTTCCCCCGACAATTCAACCACAGAAGAACCTGGCTCGGTGCATCATCGTGACAATCCCTCGACATCTACCCGTAAAGCCCAAACCTTCCTACTTAGCGATTAAACCCTAATCCCTCAACTCGCTAACAGAATCAACAATGGCCTATCAAAAATCTCAAACCTAAAACTAACTCGCAAAAACAACCGTAAAACCTCAGCAAAAATCGAAAAAACCAGCACGAAGAGGGGTACCTGATCAAAAGCTCGAAAATAAAAGAAAATAGAATATTAAGGGTAAAAAAATTGAAGAGAAATTACCCGGAGGCTGTCAGGGGAGAAAAAAAAACTAGGGTTAACGAGAGAGGCCTCTCTCGTTATTTCGCCTCTAGCCCGCGGTTTTTGGGTTCACGGTTTTAATCTCTGATTCTTAGTTCCCTCGAACTGGAAGTGGGGGCCAGTGTACTAGGCTGCTTAAAGTCATCTCGACTGCTCGGCGAAGTACGGCTTTATAATAAGGAAACGGAACAATTTATGGAAATATTTTTTCCTTTTTATTAGAACATCCTCGTTGTTTAGAAAATCTGCAGCAAGTAAAAGGAGGAGGCTTTAATTAGTTATTTATCTCAAAGAAAATTGACATCATTAAAAATATAAATTTTGATTACAGAAGTTGCGGTTATTTATTTCGCAAGCCGCAACTTTTTTTTTTTTTGGTGCTGAGAAAGAAGCAGGCCATTAATTTTATTTAGATCATGTTGTGCGATATGTTTTCCATGCAACACGTCCTCATTGAACTAAGACCGATTCACTTTCTTCCCAAAAATATAGTATTTTGGACATATTGGTTATAGAACTCACAAGTTACTTTGAATGGTTAAAAAACCATCCGGATTGTAAGTTTCATGTGATCGTCTCCACTTGCAATGTCATTAATATTATCATCATGGATCTCTAAATCGATCTCTCCATTACTGTTGTGTGTAGATTCTTCTTGAAATCCATCCATTGATGCACTCTACTAGTTAGCCAGAAAATTAAATAACTTTGGAAGTAAACTGTTACAAGTTGAAAAAAAAATCAATTTAATAAAATGGAAGGGACAAAGCCTCAAAAGAAGTAGATGAATATCTTGCAAGAAGTGGTTCTATCAACGTAGTATAAGGTTTTATTGCAACTAAAATGTATTTTATTACCTCGGTTATACATGAAACATTGGCGTGGGATGGAAAATAAGTAGTCATCGGAGGCAAGGCAATGACAATAATAATTGTAACCCCTGTGATAATGGTTGGATCATAAGGCGGTAAGAGACGAAACATGATATGCTGGAGATGACAAGAACGCAAGATATATCTAGAAGAACTAGAGAAGAAGCACGAGACGTTGACTATGACAAGAAGGGGAAGGGGATGCAGTGACGCAAGTTGGAGCACGAGTTTGGTGGTGGGAGGAGTCTGGTAACAACGACGCGAGCGCGCGAGATGCAAAGTAAGTATGAATGAATAAAGATTTACAATTAGGTTATGGAATGAAGAAGATGGGAAAACGCCTATTTTATCTCTAAATTATTTATTTCTATTTATTCCCAAAGTTCCCATCGAAACTAACCCTACCAAAAAACTAAACTCGATGTTTAATTGCCATGTTGGAATGCGACCAACTCAACTGTCCTCCTAAAAAATCTCATTAATCGCTCCAAATTAAGTTATTCATTCTCTCTCTTTGTTTACCCATAAACGGGTAACACAAATAATTCGGGTCAACCTGCTTAATAGTCGGATCGACCCGTTTATGACCCAAACTTATGTAATTGAATTCATACCTAGCAATTTCAGGCTATGTGAGGGCCAAGTCAACAGGTTGGTAGCAATTTGCCAACCTTACGCAAAGGGGCGACATCCTGCTCCTAAATTAGGACAAATTTAAAAAAATAACCTTTCCAGGAAACAATAAGTGAATCTTATATAGTTTCCGTGAGATTTACAATCTTGTGGAGTTTAGCATGAGTTTTAAATTATACAGAATTGAGAATCTCATATAGATTAATTCTTTACTAAGCTCTATATGATTCTCAATCCTATATAGTGTATTCGGATGGAGGTTAGAGAGGGGAAGGGGAAGGGAAATATGATTTTAACCTTGTTTGGGAGTTTTCTTAGAAGGCTAGAGAGGGGAAAGGAAGGAGAAAAACAGGGAGAAATCGTTCGGCCTCGATTCGGGCGGTAGAGGAGGGAAGAGGAAACTGAGGGAATATTTTTTTGATATGTTTAGACGATTTTATCCTCCATCAAAATAAATCGATTACCATGATTCAATAAAAAAAGACAAATTTTTAAAAGAGCCATATTTGCAAACTTATTCCCCAAAAACGACCCCTTTCAACTTTATTTGTCAAAACCGACCTGGTTTCAGCCCTGGGGCTGAAACCAGGTCGATTTTGACGAAAAAATTTCTAAACTTCACAGGACTTTAAGTCCTGTGAAGTTTAGCAGCCATTTTGTTAAGCTACTAAACTTCACGGGATTTGAAGTCCCGTGAAGTTTCAAAGTTCAAAAAACTTCACGGGACTTCAAGCTCCATGAAGTTTTAAAGGTTAAAAAAACTTCATGGGACTTGAAGTCCCGTGAGCTTGTTTTACCTTTGAAACTTCACGGGGCTTGAAGTCCCGTGAAGTTTTAGGCTCATTTTCCAGAGAAGCGCGGCTCTGGAAAATGAGAACTGCAACTCCACGGGACTTGAAGTCTCGTGGAGTTTTCGCTCTGCCTATATAAGGCAGAAGCGATCTCGACCCATAACCCTAGCCCCTCTCGCTCGCCGTTGTGACCCGGACCCGGCGAGAGGGTTTTTTTGTCGGGGCGGCACCCAAGGGCCAAGTTCACGCCCATCCCCCGCTCAAACTGGTCGCTCCCTCTTGTCGGGCACCCTCACCGGCACCGCGCAGGTGGACCGTTGCCCGGGCCCTGGGGTGCCTCGCCCATGGCTAGGTCGGTGCTGTTGGGGCCACACCACCCCCACAGCGGATCGGGAGTTACGCGAATTAGGGCATCGTCAATATTAAGGTAAAAGAATCTTTAAAAAAGTAATTCAAAATTTTTGTCTATTCTCACAATTTCTTCGTGATTTCTTGTAAAAAATTAATTTTTTTAATTAAATTTGTAATTATTTATGAAATTTGTGAAAATAAATAAATAATATTGTGTATGAAGTTAGAGGGGAAATTATCAAAATTTGTAACCGTGAAGTTAACAAAATGTCAAGTTTATGGGTTTCTAATTTCGATCTAAGAGATTTAATGGTTAAAATTATGGATTTCTAATATTGATGTTGAATTTTTTACTCTTCAAAGGTAACGATGAACGATCAAATTGTAATTCTTTGTTCATATGATGGGAAGATTAACTATCTTAAAAATAATATGCACGTTTATGAAGGAGGTATCACGAAGCCGTTGTTTATATCAAAATCATTTACTTTTGATGAATTGGTTAATGACTTACACAAACTTACATTAACCAACTCACGTGGGTATCACCTTAATATTATTTGTAATTATCCTATTGGGGGAATATAACAAGCGGTATTCAAATCTCAAGTGGCTATGATATGGGTCTCATTGGAGTGTTACACGACGAGAAGCGTTCAGTGGAATTATTTATTAAAAATATCAGAGAAATTTGCGGGTTATTTCCTTTGGCATTCGCAGTGGTTGATGTTGAAAACACAGAGAATTGGGCGTGGTTTTTTACATGCATTAGATATCATATCCGCACATAGGGGAGTGTACTATCACATTACAGGACGTAACCATCATACTTGGGCTCCGCATCGATAGCCCGGTAGTTACGGGCACCGATGACCATAATTGGGCTGAAGTATGTGCTAGGCTTCTTGGTCAAGTTCCCGACTTGATGAGTGGTTCAATAAAGCTATTGTGGATTCGTACGACATTTCAGGGAGATAAACCAGCTGATGCTTCCATTGAGACGCTTTAGTATCATGCTCGTATGTATATATTGCACATGATAAGGTGCATGCTATTTGCTGATACGAGCAAGAATCTTGTACATGCACGATGGCTACCACTGCTAGAGGATTTTGGTGTATGCGGCGCACTATCATGGGGCGGTGCGGTGTTGGTATACTTATATAGAGAATTGGATAAAGTATCCTTGATACAGAATAAAGAATTCAAGGGATGCTACATATAGATACAGATTTGGTCATGGGAGCACATTCATATTGGACGACCTACTTTGCTTGTGAACCGTGACCTACAGGGCCAGTTTCCTTTGTCATACATGTATAATTGTCCACATAATTTTATTCATATTGAATTTGTACTCATATATTCTTTATGCCAAATAGGTATAACGTGCGGTATGTTAAGTACAAATCAGTGACGTAACATCATGAGTTTTATCGAAATGAGCTTGATGACCTCCAACACGAACAGGTAAACATAAATCTCAAGTCGTTATGAATATTATAGTTTTGTTTGTTGATACTGATAAATGTTTTATCTTATTTCAGTTCAAGTGGAGACCCTATTCACCGTCGGAGCTCGATATGCATACTCTTGCACCTATCTGTCGAGATAGTCCTGACTTGTGGAGAGCCAGAGTTCTATTGATCTGTTGGGAGATTGTGGAGATGCATGTCTCCGACCGTGTACTACTATAATTTCTGCTCTCTCAGCATGTGTCAGATCCTGTTGAGCAGATTGATCGTAGGCGACGACCTACATCGCATCGTACGGACTGAGGTGTACTCAGTGCGGCCTACATAGACAAGTGGATTCACAGTTGAGATTCCATACAGGATACGGGAGACACAACTATTGACTATATCGCGTATATGCATTGGTATTGGGATGTCATGTGTAGATGGATCACGCGTGACCTGCATCCATCAGCTAGACACCTGCCACGCCCACCGGCACCGATAGATAGTTACATCCCTAGTTGGATGATCAAGAGAGATTATGTAAGTTTCTAAGCTAAATTAAAATAATAATTTTTTATTAAGATGTTATTTGCTAAATTGTGTATATATTGTTTAACTCGCACGTCCGTGCTTTTGATGACATTGAAACTGATATTGATGAGCACATGCCTGAGATTCAGGATCCGCGACGTTAGGGGTCTTCAACAGGATCAAGCAGAGAATAGCACATGTGTTTCATAGGACTCATGTCGACGAGTTTGCAGGCCGTGAGGATAGGTCTCGATCATTTGGGCAAATGTACATGCGACAGCGTAGGCCACATGACGATGACGAGGCACTTCGCATGCTGATGGAGCCGGTACTTCTCAGCCTCATACACAACCAGATACTCAGATAATTGAGGCTCATCAGTAGGAACATAGGGGGCGGGGAAGAGCGAGGGGAAGGGGGAAGAGAGGGAGAGGAAGGAGAGGAGGAATTTTAGGTTGTATGTGATCTTATTTTGTTGAAATTTGTAACTTTTATGATTTTTCAAATACTATACTTTTGTGGATCAATTATTGTTTATATATGTGATTTTCATGAGTATTGTTTGATTTATGTTTAATTCATGACGGAATTTTAAGAATATTGTTGTAATTCAGTGTATATGAGATCGATTTATTGTTCACAGGTGTATTTTCGTGATTATTGTTTGATTCAGTATATATTGTTTGATTCATGTAAATTGATTGATTCATGGCGAAAATTTCATGTATATTTGTTGTGTAATGCATTTAGTAGTCACGTTGCGTATATAAAAAACATGTACAACCTGCTGTGCATGTTCTTTAAAATCTGCAGCTTCATGTGAAGTTTTTTAAACTTTGAAACTTCACGGGACTTCAAGTGCTCTGAAGTTTAGCAGCTTAACAAAATGGCTCCCAAACTTCACGGGACTTGAAGTCCCACGAAGTTTGAAAACTTTTTCCACCAAAACCGACCTGGTTTCAGTCCAGAACGGTTTTGACAAATAAAGTTGAAAGGAATTGTTTTTGAGGAATAAGTTTGCAAATAGGGCTCTTTTGAAAATTTGTCCATAAAAAAACCCTAACAACCCCTTT